TAGCCTTCTAGGAATATAGGTTCTAAGCCTGATAATGTCAAAACTCTGAAATGGCAGTTAATGAACATCCATACAAATATAGGTATAAAGTAATTTAGCACAATCTGATTTCTAAATTCTTCTTTCTTTCTGCATGGGCTTTTCTTTCAGGTAGATAATATTTGGAAAATTTTTAGGTTTTGGCCCCCTCTTGCCACATAATATTCTTCTGAGACAGCAAGTGTTCTCATTTTGTGTGGTCTCAGAGAAAGCAAACTTCTTTTAGTATAATTTGGAATAGGCAAATCTTCATTTTAAGAATCAGATATAAAACAAATATTTTAACTTTTGGAACTAGGCATTATGAATAACCCAAAATGTATAATTATTTATTTATTTATTTTTAATTGACATAAAATTGTGTACAACATAGTGATTTGAAATATATATGCAGGCCGGACACAGTGGCTCAAGCCTGTAATCCCAGCACTTTGGGAGGCCGAGGTGGGTGGATCACGAGGTCAAGAGATGGAGACCATCCTGGTCAACATGGTGAAACCCCGTCTCTACTAAAAGTACAAAAAATTAGCTGGGCACGGTGGTGCGTGCCTGTAATCCCAGCTACTCAGGAGGCTGAGGCAGGAGAATTGCCTGAACCCAGGAGGCGGAGGTTGCGGTGAGCCGAGATCGCGCCATTACACTCCAGCCTGGGTAACGAGCGAAACTCTGTCTCAAAAAAAAAAAAAAAGAAATATATATGCATTGTGGAATGGCTAAATCAAAGTAATATACATTACTTCATATATTTATTTTTAATGAGAAAACAAAGTATGCTTTCTTTACAATTTTCAAGTACATATAATACTTGTTATTAACTATATCATGTTATAAAATAGATCTCTTGAACTTATTCCTCCTATCTAACTGAAATTATGTATCCTTTGACCAACATCTGGCAATCCCTTCTTCCCCCTCCCCCACTTCTGGTAACCACCAGGTAGATAAATTAAAACGTTGAAGTCTGCTTGTAAATAGATGTTTTCACTCTCCCCAAGAGTTTGGTTTTGAGCGTTTGTGTCATGCAGTGAATGAGAATATAATCCGTTGAGTTTTGAAATTCTTATTTATTGTAAGAATTAAGGAGTTTGGCCGGGCGCGGTGGCTCACGCCTATAATCCCAGCACTTTGGGAGGCTGAGGTAGGTGGATCACGAGGTCAAGAGATCAAGACCATCCTGGTCAACATGGTGAAACCCCGTCTCTACTAAAAATACAAAAATTAGCTGGCCATGGTGGTGCGTGCCTGTAGTCCCAGCTACTCGGGAGGCTGAGGCAGGAGAATTGCTTACCCAGGAGGCGGAGGTTGCGGTGAGCCGAGATCATGCCATTGTACTCCAGTCTGGGTAACAACAGCGAAACTCCGTCTCAAAAAAAAAAAAAAAAAGAAGGAGTTTGGATGAATGTAAAGTTTTAAGTAACTTTAAAATTATACAAAGATACACCTTTACTGTCAGGAAATATAGAAAGCCTAAAAATATTCCCTATAAAACATTAGCCAGGTGTAGTATGTGCCTATGGTTCCAACTTCCTGGGAGTCTGAGGCCAGAGGATCACGTGAGCTTGAGAGGTCAAGGCTGCAGTGAGCCATGATTTTGCCACAGCACTTCAGCATGGGTGACAGTGTGAAACTCTGTCTCTTTAAAAAAAAAACTCTTATAATTTTATTCTATGTAAAACTCTTGTTTGTGTTTTGAAATCCTTCTGTGTAAGTGCTTGTATATAAAGATAAAAATAAAGTACTTAGAAAAAGCAAAATTGAATTTATGTTAGCTGTGCTTTTTTCCAAGGTTATTTTAATGTAGTAATATTAGTCAAGTGTGTAAGCATTTGAAATAATGGTATTGCTTTTATATTTTGCAGATAAACCACATAATCCTATGGTAAATGCTGGAGCAATTGTTGTGACTTCATTAATAAAGGTAAAATGTTGATGTTTCATTTTAACCTAGTAAACTTTTTGTTTTTAATAGCTAAGGCATAAAGATGAATCTGGGATTATTTATGTAGAATTATGAAAAATTTTCTCTTGGTGTTAAAAAATTTGTCTTATGGTATAGAGTTAGAATCATTATTTCAAAATAAATGATGTAGTCATTTCAAGGCCAAGATTAAAAACAGATGACTCACTGTAAATTCCAACAGTTATTTACTCTTGACTTGAAGATCTGGAAAATATTTAAATTCTGCTGAAGAAAGGCATAGAGGCTTTTTTTTTTTTAAGTTTTGATATTTTCCTTTCTTTTCCTTTTGGCTCTTCTAGAGTGAACAGTTATAAATAGAATTAAAGGCATTTTACCATATAATTGTTATTAGTATGTATAGGAACAAATGTTCTAGAACTTGTTTAAGACAAAGTACATTTACCCTAGAATATTCTCAAGTCTTTGATACTCTGATGAGCTGAAATCACAATTTTTATTTGAACTTGTTTTATTTGTTTTACTTAAATCGTGCCATAATTAAAATAATTAAATAAGGTTCATTCCAATTATTAAGTTATATTTTTTTATGCTTTGAAGTTTGCATTATAAGGAGTTTTTTTTTTTTTAATTGTTTGGTTTGCCTTAATAATTGGAAGATCTAGTGTTTTGACATAAGTATTTGAAAATAGTTCTCTTGTAATAGATTTTTAAATCTATCACACGATTTTAGATTTTTCAGATTTTTAATTTCTAATTATAAATTTTATTTATTTAAATAAATTTTGTGTTTGGAAGCATTTGTATACTTCTTTGGTAAATCTGTGCCTATTTATTCCAACTTAGAGTAAAGCATAACTACATGGCTTTGTAAATACATTACTGTGGATGAGGTACCCTGGTTACATGAAGGATGTTTGACTATAAATGATACCCGTGCCCCAGTTCACAAAACTTCATCTAATTTGTATACTAGAAATCCTTTCTTAACTTTCAAGGGTTTTATATCTATGAGAAAAAGATTTTTTAATTATTATTATTTTTGAGACAGAATCTTGTTCTGTCGCCCAGGCTGGAGTGCAGTGGTACAATCTCGACTGACGGAAACCTGTACTACCCAGGTTCAAGCAATTCTCTGTCACAACCTCTCGGGTAGCTGGGATTACAGGCACCTGCCACCACACCCAGATAGTTTTTTGTATTTTTTAGTGGAGATGGGGGTTTCACCATCTTGGTCAGGCTGGTTTTGAACTCCTGAGCTTGTGCTCTACCCACCTCAGCCTCCCAAAGTGCTGGGATTACAGATGTGAGCCACCATGCCCAGGCGAAAAAGCTTTTTAATAGAAGGCTAGTATCTTAAGAATCTATATGTTTACTTTGGCCCATTTAATTCTTATAACTCTAATGAAGTATGTGTTATAGCCAAGTGTTTTTAAAATGTAACTAATTGTAATAGGCTATGGAGAAATTTGTCAGTTTGAGGTGAAAGAAACTTGAAAAATGTGATTATTTGCAAGGCACAGTCCTGCCTTTATATAGCTTACTTTGTAGTATGAGTAATGCACAAGTAAATGGGTCCTTATAATAAAATTCAATAAATACTGTGATGAAAGAAAAGCTTCATTAATAATTGCTCAGATTTGAACAAGTAACTTAAAATTAGAAATAAGGAAAGTTACTGTAATGTATATGTTAATGCTTGATGAGACAAACACCAAAATTGAATTCTTAAACTGGAGAGAGATTAACATGGTACACTAAGCATAGTTTCAAAAAAGGGCTTATGTAAATAATTAACAGAAGACTTCCTTAACTGCACACAGTTAAAAATCTTTCATTTAATGATTCATGGGCTTAACAGACTACACTGAAATGCTTCATGTGGGAATTGCATGTCTGGTCATTATCACACCATCATTTATTAATTTCACTTGCCATGTTTAGTCATGAGCCGTAAACTATACATTGAGTTACGTTTTAGAATGAGTGAATAGAAACAGTTAAAACATAAACACAGCATATATAGAATTCAACAGTGTAAAAATTTGAGTCATCTTGGACCTACAAATTTGATCACTGAGTTTTATAAAAACTTAAATTTACTGGTAAAGTTGGAAATGAGGCTTTAGGGTATAGTTTATATTTAAGGTCACTTTCTCCTGAGTTTTTGTTTTTTAGCATGTGTCTCACAAGTGCTTTTTTTTTTTTTTTTTAAATGAAGTTCATACAAATCTTGGAGAAGAAAGCCTGCTATAACCCTTTGTAAAATTGAATGCTCCAGAATATGTAATATTTTCTTAGAATCTTTTAAGGAAAGAATCAATTTATATGTGTGATCTCTACAAATTGTAGGATGGATGACATAATATTTATAAATGGTGTTGGTTTGAAATTTAGGTAATAAAACCATAGCCAAAAGGGCTTAAACATTGTCGAGCTCTCTTATTTTATATAGATGAGGAAACTGAGAGCCTGGCAAGGTTGTTAACAGCAGAAGAATTGGGCATTAACTAAATCTCCTGATGTTCTGTTTGCTGTTCATTACAATTGACTCTGCCATTTTAACGTAGGTGTTTGCCATTTCTCTTGATGACATCTTTAACTTTAATTGGCATAGTTATATTGCCCAAAATGCAGAAGTAATATTTTCTTAATTTGAACTGGTTCAAACGATAATAATTTATTGGCTTAAAAGTTGTATCTCATTTGGTACCAAATGGCTGTAGTTATTATTTGGAATTAGTCAGTAAAGAAACAGGCCCTTTTCCAAGGTGCTTGCATCTGAGTACCCAAAGCCACGGATATTTCACCATGGCTAGTAGAGGTGAATTCTGTTTTTTAGCTCTTTTAATTGATGACCTTAAGCCTATTTGTGATTTTTCTTTTCTTTCAAAATTCAGGAATTTATCATGGTACCATTAAAATCATTTCTTCATGTTACTCCCCTCACCCCAAAATTAAGTAGAGTCTTTAGTAAGACTCTTGATTTCATAATTTTGTAGTGTTGATATTTTTTCCTTGTAGGATTGGTGGTGATCCTCAGGAAATGGGGGAAGAGGCAGAGCAAATGTTCAAAAGGATTAGCAGATTGTGGAAAAAAGGAGGATTTGGACAGAAGGAGCCTGTTGCATAAATTCTTAACTACTAAGCTTATAGGAAAACTCCAATATTTAAAATTTTAAACAAAGCTATATAGGTAAATACCTTTTTAAAAACAAATGTCATTTTATACTTAAAATGCACATAATTTTTAAAAAAACATAAGGATACTATACTTCCTCTCTTTCTCTGTGGTAGCTGCTAACTTTAAAGGAATACTTTTTGTTATAATCTGTTTTATTTGGGATGGTGATAAGGGGTGATTGCTTGATTAAAAGGAAAGAATAAAAATAAATTTGAAAGGAACAGTTATTTTTATATGACATAGCAGTATACTTATATACTTTTTTTTCCCCAGTGGCAAAAATTTCACGGAGTTTTAGTTTAAAAGTTAAGATCTAGTGATAACTTAAGGGTTTAAGGTAGGAAAATGAGGACAACATACTGCAAAATAATTGCCATATTTAATACTTTTTCATGTTAGAAATCGAATTTACACTGTCTTATGTATTTTTATCTCTCAGAGTTTTGTTTTTGTTTTTTAGAGACAAAGTCTCTCTCTGTTGCCCAGTCTAAGTGAAGTGATACAGTCAAAGCCCACTGCACCCTCAAACTCCTGTGCTCAAATGATCCTGCCACATCAGGCTCCAGAGTAGCTGGGACCACAGGCACATGCCACCATGCAGGGCTAACATTTTATAAAGATAGGTTCTTGCCATGTTGCTAAGGCTGGTCCCCACCTCCTGGCCTAAAGTGATCCTCCCAGTTTGGCCTCCCAAAATGCTGGGATGACAGGCGTGAGCCACTCTACTTGGCATGCCTCATTCTAGTGGTGGTTTCCAGTTTTTGTCATTTAAAGAAAGAAGCTCTATTTTTCTTTAGTCAAAAGTATTCTTGAATTGTAAAAATTAGGGTTTTTTTTTCTCTTTAAACAATTTAAGCATACTCATTGAAAATCCAGACAAGCTTAATGTCTACGCAGTGTTCAGTTTGGTCATGTTAGCAATAAAGTGCTAGGTTTGCTTATAAGGCAGGTTTTTTAAGTGGTTCGTGACTGAGAATAATGAATGATGTCTTGGACAGGCAACATTCAGAAGACAGGATTATATTGGTTTATTTATTTCATGTTTATATCAGTTTATGCTTTCCTTTTTTTTTTAATGAAAGGTAGAGCATTTATTGTCAACTGAAAATAGTTCTGTTATTTTATTTTTAGGGTTAATCTGTGAAAATACTAGATCTAGAACAACCTTCTTTTACCTGAAGTATCTTATTTTTTATTTACCTAATACTGTTTGGCTTTAAAGCATTTTATATCATAAGACTATTTCATAAAATCATTTTTAGTTACCTCTTTTTGCACTTTTTTTCTAGGATCTTTAATTTTTAATTGGCTTGTAACTCCATATTTTATGAATGGAATCAAGTGAGATACTTCTAAAATAACTCTGATTAATGCATTGACTTTAAGTGAGCCATTTTAGTATTAAATTTATTGGCAGATATCCTTAACAGCGTTTTTTACCTGTATTATGAAGTATGATACATAAATCAGTTCATAAATAACACTGTAAAAACAGTATTAAAACACTGCAATATAGTTATATTATTTAATAGACAATGTTAAAACTCAATGCCTCTTTATCAAATTTTCATTCATACAGTATTCTTCAAAGAACTGCAAATTTTGTAACTTGATAGGCATATTTATAGAAAAATTTGTATAATTTTCAGGTATCAGGATCTGGTTACCCTTTTCAAACAACCCATATGGGTTTGTTTTTAAAAATCATTTGGTGAGTGGATTCGAAATTTTGATTAGTATATTTCTTGCAATTTAGTTTCTTTTAAAAATGTTTCCACTGTATTTACTGCAAATTATTATAACTTTTTCAAAATTAAAATATAATAATAATGCTTGTATAGTAATCTTCAAACTGGGATAAATATATCTTTGGATTCCATACTTAGAATTCTTTCCAAGGAATAAAGGGGCATTGATAGTTTTAAGATAAGTCAATTTCAAAATCTGTTTCTTTATGCGTATTTTAAAAAATTAATCTGCCTTTAGTCCAGGTGTCCTCGTATTTTCCAAAAGGAAGACATAGGTCTCATGTGTTTCAAATTTTAGTACGGTGCACTGCTTCAGGTTGTAAAAACCTATTAGCCCATCAGCAAAAAAGAGGACATTTTGAAATGTTAGAGTCAGTGAAGGATGTGAACCATTGTAATGACTGGTAATAAGTCCTGTTGTATACTACTAGGTTGTTTCCAGTTCTTTGGTTTCAACAAAATCTAAAGAGGATCTAAGTATATTCCCAGTTAATAAGAGCACTAGCATAATTTTTCAGGCTAGAGTACTCTGTGACTTTTGGCGTGTCATGAGCTGGAGGCATGTAAAGAACTGAGTAACATTGCTATAACAAAACTTTTTAAATTTCAGTCTTCTTATCCATTATAAGCAAAGTTTTTCAATTCACACATCTGTAAAAATTAAAAATAGGAAGAGAGAATTACTCCTGAGTTCATTCTAGCAGTAGAAAATACCCACTGATAGATGAACTAAAAATCAATTACTATTTCAAATGGGAAAGAAAAATACTAAAAAGGAAAATCTTTCAAATTAGTATGGGAATTATTAGCAAGTAAATATTTTTTCTTTAATTTTTTTTATTGTGAAAAAGTTCAAACATACATAAAATAGACTAGTATGGCCAGCCCTCACATATGCATGCCCAGCTTTTACTTTTGTTAACATCTGTTTCTCCACCTGACTCGCCCTACTACTACATAATGATGAAAATAATGATTTTTTAAAAATCATTTTTAGTTTTGCCTTTGTTTGGGGGGGTGGTTTACTCGATTTTGTATATGTATGTGTGTGCTTTTCCTAAGAGCTTTGCAAATAAGCTTTTTACTGTAACTTTTTCAGTATTAATATGACATGTTAATGATTAGTAGATCTCATCTATCTTTGGGGTACATGAAGTCTTTCCAAGAGATACGCAGGCAGACAAATTTTATTGACTTTAGTTAAATGCCATTTCCAGGATAGATACTATGAACAAACAATAATCAAATACCTTTACATTTAAATGGGGAAGTTTTGGGGAGAAACATTCTTCAGTCAATGCAATTATTCAATACAGGCATACCTCAGAGATATTGTAGATCACCTAACTAAAGTGAAGATTGCAAAAAAAGTCATACAAATTTTTTTGTTAACCAATGCATACAAAAGTTGTGTTTATACTATATTAGGTGTGCAGTATATTGCATCTAAAAAAATACAGTGTAAATACCTTAAGTAAAAAATATTTTATAACTAAGAAATTCTAAGGATCATCGAGCCTTCAGCGAGTCCTAGTCTTTTTGCTGGTGGAAGGTCTTGTCTTAATGTTGATGACTATTGACTGATCATGGTGGTGGTTGCTAAAGGTGGTGGTTGCCGAAAGTTGCTATGGCAATGTCTTAAAATAAGACAACAGTAAAGTTTCCCACATCAATTGACTCTTCCTTTATGAAAGATTTCTCTGTAGCGTGTAATGCTATTTGACAGCATTTTACTCAAAGTAGAACTTCTTTCAGAATTGGAGTAAATCCTCCCAAACCCTGCTGATGCTTTATGAACTAAGTTTATGGAATATTCAAAATGCTTTGTTGTATTTCAATGATAATCAGAGCATCTTTAACAGAAGTAGCTTTCATCTTAAGAAACCACTTTCTTAGTTCATCCATGAAAAGCAACTCCTCATCCGTTCAAGTTTTATCAGGAGATTGAAACAACTCAGTCATATCTTCAGACTCTACTTTTATTTCTGGTTCTCTTGATATTTCCATCACATGTGCAGTTACTTACTCCACTTGAATACCCCTCAGTCATCTGTGAGGATTGGAATCAACTTCATTTAAATTCCCATTAATGTTGATATATCGACCTCCTTCCATGATAACGAATGCTCTTAATGACATTTGGAATGGTGAATCTTTTCCAGAAGATTTTCAGTTTACTTTATCCAGAGCCATCAGATAAATCACTATTATTGCAGCTATAGCCTTATGAACTGTGTTTCTTAAATAGTAAGACTTGAAACTTGAAATTACTCCTTGATCCATGGGCTGCAGAATGATGTTGTGTTAGCAGGCATGAAAACATTATGCTCCTTGTATGTCTCCATTAGAGGTCTTGAGTGACCAGATGTACTGTTAGTGAACAGTAATGTTTTGAAAGAAATATTTTATTTTCTAGCTGGTCATGACGGCTCATACCTGTAATCTCAGCACTTTGGGAGGTTGAGGTAAGAGGATTGCTTGAGCCCAGGAGTTCAAGACCAGCCTGCAGAATATAGTGATACTTCCTCTCTATTTAAAAAAAAAAAACAACTTTGAGCCATAGGTTTCAACAGTGGGCTTAAAATATTCAGTAAACAATGTGGCAAACAGATGTGGTCTCATCCAGGCTTTATTATAAGCACAGGCAGGCTACCCTATTTAGGACTCTAGGATTTTTGGAATGATGAATGAGCATTGGCTTCAACTTAAGGTTACCAGCTGCCTTAGTCCCTAACAAGTCAGGCTGTCCTCTGAAACCAGACATTAACTTTTCCTCTTTGACTATGAAAGTCCTAGATGTCATCTCAATAAAAGGCTGTTTTGTCTACATTTAAAATCTGTTGTTAGTGTAGTCATCTTCATCACTGAAGTTAGATAGATCTTCTGGATAACTTGCTGCACCTTCTGCATCAGCCCTTGCTGTTGTTTCACCTTGTACTTTTGTGTTATAGAGATGGCTTCTTTCCTTAAACCTCATTAATCAACCTCTGCTAGCTGCAAACCCTTTTCTGCAGATTCCTCACCTCCCTCTCTTCATAGAATTGAAGGATTTAGGGTCTCGTTCTGAATTAGGCTTTGGCTTAAGGGAATGTTGTAGCTAGTTTTACTTATTTATTTTTTATGCAGACCACACAAACTTTCTCCATATTAGCAGTTATGCTGTTTTGCTTTCCATCATTCATGTGTTCACTGAAGTAGCTTTTTACATTTCCTTCAAGAACTTAAAGAAATGTAGAGGAAACTTTGCATTTACAACTTGGCTAACTGGTACAAGAAGCTCAACTTTTGGTCTGTTTCAGTTTTCAGCATGCCTTTCTTACTAAGCTTAATAATCATTTCTAACTTTTAAAAGGTGAGAGATGTGCAACTCTTCCTTTCACTTGAATGTTTAGTGGCCATTGTAGGGTTATTAATTGGCCTGTTTTCATTCAATATTGTGTCTCAGGGAATAGGGAGGCTCAAGGAGAGGGAGAGAGATAGGAGTGGACAATTAGCGAAGCAGTCAGAGCATACACAACATTTATAGGTTAAGTTTCCCTCTTACATGGAGATGGCTTGTGACACCCCAAAACAAGTGTAATAGTAAGAGCAAAAATGACTGATCACAGATGTCTTATATCATCTGACATATAATAATAATTACCAAAATTTGACACACAGACATACAATTAGCACATACTGTTGGAAAAATGGTACCAGTAGACCTACTTGATGCAGGGTTACCACAAACCTTCAGTTTTTTAAAAAATGCAGTATCTGTGAAACACAATAAAGTGAAACTCAATAAAATGAGGTATGCCTGTATTTTGTTTTGTTTTATTTACATAATCTGCCTAGAGCATTTTGAGCACTTTACCCAAAATATTATGTTGTATAATGATAGACATTGGTAAATACCAGTTTTTTCTTATAAACAATGTAAAAGCAAAATTTAATCATGCTTTAATTTAGTAAGTCACCAAATAGACCAATTATGTGACCATAGTCTAGAGTTGAATGGCTTTTATTTTTGTATATTAAACATGATAGCCCAATGAAGAAAACTTGTATAAGTTTTATAGGGTACAGTTTAGGTCACAGAATGAAAGTTCAATGTAACTTGTTTATTTTACATTCATTGTTTAACCAGTAATTGTCCATATGACATCTCAATGCAAATGCTGACATCCGTTTCCAAAAAAGTTGTTTTTTTGTGCTTTTTCTAAGGTTACGAAGGTTTTTGTGGTTTAAATGTTGTTACATATTTTACAGCATTAGGATCTATGGAATATTTTGACAACTGCAACAGTTCAATGAAGTTGGTAATTTCTTCTTTTAATTATTTTTCATTGAACAGCCTTGGAGTTACATTTCTACATTTTGATTTCTGGTATAGTATAAGGAAAGAAAAAATTATGTCAAAGGGTACTTTAGAGAAAATACATAGATAGTGATTACAATATGGCTGTAACTAAATTATGCTTAATCTTGTTGAAGTTTTGTTAATGCCTAATTTCGATGAAATAGTATGGTGTTCCTTCCAGCTACTGACTGTATATATGTGATTGCATGTCTTTCTTAAATAAGTTGATTTGTAGGTTTTCACATATTGTCAGCCACACTCTAATCCTCTTGTAAAGAATGAACCTGGCTTTATTCAATTAAATAATTCTCTGGTACAGGTTTTCCTTCCATAATATTTTAAAGTATAATGTTTTGGATTTTTTTTGAGTGTAAAGTAAAAGAAAAAGTTTTAAAAACTTTTAGTCATCAAATTATTTTAATTTAAGCCTCTTTTAGAAATTAGAGATGTATTGTTTCTTTTGGGTGCATATCACCAATTAATACGTTTGATTTCAGATCTACAACTTACTGCTTTGTAAACTTCGCCGAGGTAAAATGAAACCATTTGGCTACTTGAACTGATCTACGTTACATAGGTTTTTCCTATTGACATTTATAATAGATAACATGTCAGAAATGAAAGTGATGAAACAATACATCTTCCGTACTCTGAATTGGCATAATACTAAATACAATAGAAGCTAGCTTTTTAGAGATTGTGAAATATAATTTTTTTTTAGTTCAAGTATTATTATAACAAGTAAGAGCTACTAAGAGTAGAGTTTTCTCTACGGTAGTAAAATGTAACCAGAATGTTTGCATATACTAGAATTATAAAAGATTAGTTAGTTTTGCAGCATAACTCATTTTTCTAACTCTAATATTAGTTTAAGGATTTAATAAAATACAAGTAGATTGTTCTTAATTGAAATCATATTTTATATATGTATTTTTTTTGAAGGGTGAAACTTTATTTTAAGTTTTTTAAAATATAAGATTAAATAAATAACACATTTTAGCAAATATGTGCTGTCAAGAAAGATAAGGGAATTCATGGCAACTTGTATTTAAAATTCTGTAACTTTCGGTTGGGTAAAGATATACTTAAAATAAAGCATTCCCTTTGTAATTCTGATGCATTCTCAACATATGGGTATTAAAGAACATGTAAGAAAAGTTTATATAAATATTAAATTACTTTAGAACTATTTCCTAAATTTAAAATTACTAATGCAGTATATTAATTTTAATGGTAGCTGTTTGAAATTTTGATATTAGCTTGAAACTTAACTCTGGTGGTACCTATATTAATGTATTTATGTCTCTTATTTTTTTGCAGCAAGGAGTAAATAATGCTGAGAAATTTGACTATGTAAGTGCAACATGTCATTCAGTTTTTATGCCACATTCTCTACATATTTGTTTGATTACTAATATTTCCTAATTTTGGTTTATAGGTCATGCAGTTTTTGAATAAGATGGCGGGTAACGAATATGTTGGATTCAGTAATGCAACGTGAGTGTTTTAAATACTGTTTTTGTTATGTAAAGATACAAACACACTGTATATTTAGAATTGATCTGCTCTTTTTTTATTAGAGGGAAATGAATGATTTCTAAATTACATGACAGAAACACTTAAAAATTCTTTAAATAGTTTTGACAAATTTCTTTATTTTTTTTTTTGAGACGGAGTTTCTCTCTTGTTACCCAGGCTGGAGTGCAATGGCGTCATCTCGGCTCACCTCAGCCTCCGCCTCCTGCGTTCAGGCAATTCTCCTGCCTCAGCCTCCTGAGTAGCTGGGATTACAGGCACGCGCCACCACGCCCAGCTAATTTTTTGTATTTTTAGTAGAGATGGGGTTTCACCATGTTGACCAGGATGGTCTTGATCTCTTGACCTCATGATCCACTCACCTCGGCCTCCCAAAGTGCTGGGATTACAGGCGTGAGCCACCGCGCCCAGTGACAAATTTCTTATAGGTCATTTTACAATCAGAAGAGACCCCAAGTTTATCTCAAATTACTGGTGCTTATTCAATGTTATCTTTGCTTATAGTACATGTCTTACCTCTCTGTTCCAGGCTAATTTGATTTTTACCCCAATTTTGTATTTTAGAATTTCCAAGTCTATAGAAAAGTTGAAGAAATAAATATCTGAAATCTTTTACTTATATTTTCTAATATTTTTGTCATACTTGCTTTTTCTCAACCTCTTTTTTTTTTCCTGAAACAATTTCAAATTAAGTTATAGACATTGTGATATTTCACCCTTAAATAAGAAAGCATATATAATCTAAGAATAAGGACATTCTCCTACATAACCACAATACCATTAACACTTGTATAAATATTAACATTGATTTTTAAAATATCATGACATTAATCAATATATGAATGTCCCCAACTCTTCCCCAAGTGTCTTTTACAACTTTAATTATTATTTTTGATTCAGGAACAAGTCAAGTTTCTCATATTGTATTTATTACGATGTCTGTTTTGTCTCTTTACTTAGAACAATTCCCCAGCTCTAGATCCTTGGTTTTAAAAAGTTTATTAAATGGCTTTTATTTTTAAAGAGTGCAAGCTGCTTGTTTCATAGACTAGGGCTTGGTGACTTTTTTTTTTTGAAGAATCAGACAGTAAATATTTTAAGCTGTGGGCCATACAGTCTGTTGTAACTTCTGAGTTCTGCTGTTTAGTAGAAAGCAGCCATAGACAATTTGAGGCTGTGTTCTAAAAAAACTGTATATAAACAGGTAGCAGTCCATTGAATGGATATTTCCCATTTTGTATTTGTCTGATTGCTTCCTTGTAATTAGAAACATTATTAACTTAAGCATTATTGTAACATTATTAAGCGGTTTTAGCATGTATACTACTATTTTATTCTTATTTTGCACTTCCTGCTTTACATTTCAGGGGTAAACATTTTCAGGTTGCCTACCTTCCCAAAATTAATTCATCAGCTTAAATATCTTTTCCAGGAAGTATTCTATGAATCTCAACTTGCCTCTTTCCTGTGCTCTTCTATTACCATATTTTATCAGCTTACTACATGTCCCTCTTTACTCCATAACCACCATTAGACTCTGCCCTTCTTAGATAGAATGTTGTATCTTCCAGTTCATTTCTATATCCCTGTTATCTGGCAGATCATAGGCACCTGAGATAGTGTTGAAGAACTATGTGTCAGGCACTGTGATAATTGCTGACTAGTTAGTCCTTTATCTAAACTATGTTGATGTTTTTTTAAAAAGTATGGCAAATTGATAAGAATTTGAAATGTTAAAATGTACAATTAGAAGGGGCTGTCCACCTCAGTAGTATAACTTTACCCACAGTTCCTCTAATATCAGCAGCCCTTTTAGACTTGTAGGTAATTCTCAAATATACTGCAAGTTAAATCTGTCTAAATCAAAACTCAATTCTCTTTCTTTCCAAACTGCTTTTTGCTCTAGCCATCCCTGTGTCAGCTAATACTATTATCCTCTCAGGTTATGTTAGAAATTGAGGCTATATATCAGTCTTTACCCTCCCTGTGTCTCCTTTTTCTCATCAGGTTAGAAAATTATCCAACTGCTTGCATGTTTGATCATACCCCTCCTTTTATTCCTATCACAGCTGCCTAAATTCAGGCTTTTGTCACTCTCATTACAATAGTCTCTTAATAGATCAGTCATCACTTCTTTTTCCCCTTTCCCAAACTGATGTCAGAGTTATCTTTCTAAAATGTAGATCTGATTAGGTAACTTGTTTGAAAGCCCTCAGGCTTTTGTTTTGTGGATGGTCAGGAGCTATTACATTATTTGGCATCTATTGGTTTTGATAATTTGGTCCCAGTCTCCTTTGTCAGTTTGATGTTTTGCCACTCTTCTCCATGTGCTTTTCCCAGTTATATCAGAATATTTGCCATTCTTCAGTGGATCACTGTCTTTATACTTTTATAATTGTTCATGCTGCATAGAATTTGCCAGTGCCTAGTCTTCCCCCTGAAATCTGTTAGTCCATTGAGTCCTACAAGTTCCATTTTGTGTTTCCAACTCTCAGTGAAAGTTCCATAATTATGTCAAGTTCCCTGATTATGTCAGTTAAAATGGACTGTTATTGTACTTTTGGGTAGCTAGAGGATTCTGCAGTTTTTCAGTACATTTTAATGGTAGAATATTTGAGAATTTTAAAGTTAGCATTTTTGTTTACAAAGTGTAAAGACTAGAAAGGGCCTGAGTTCATTTTAGTCATTTTACAATCAAGAAAATGAAGATTGAAAGAATTATCATTTAAAAAACTTGTCCAAAGCTACTCAAATAGCCTATTGACAGAATTGATTGGAACTCTATAGTCCTGAATCTTAGTTCATTGTTCTTTATGCTGTACATTACTATACAAATGAAATTATGAACAATCAGACTTTTACAGAAAGTACATAGAGCAAATGTTTCCTTTTCTTCTTCCAGGTTTCAGTCTGAAAGAGAAAGTGGAGATCGAAATTTTGCAATAGGATATTACTTAAAAGAAAAGAAGGTTTTTAAATTTTTGTTTCTATTTCAAATTATTCTTTTATTTAATTGAATACATGAAGATATATGCTAAGAATTCAACAATAGCCTTTAAGCAACTACCTATTACTATTTAAGGTGCAGAAGTTTTTGCAGAGTGCTCTTCAGTCAGTGTTAATAAATTGTTAATAATGTTATTATTAAATGGATTTGTATCTGGCAGTATTTAAATATTTGACTAATTTTATTTATCAATGTAAATTTTGTTTGAGGTTTCATCCATTTTTTTCAAAAGCATAATGTCTGATTAGTGTTAACTACCCTTGATTTTTTTTTTTAAGTGGCTGGTCCAGTAACTTGATTTATAAGTCATGAATTATTTTATTATTGTCAGTTAAACTAGTATCTAGAAACTTACATGATGCCATCTAATTTTGCTTTATTATTCTTTATTTTGTGTTTATACTCTTTTAAAAGTTACATGCTATTTTATTAATTAAAATGAAACACTTGTATACATTTGAAATTTAATTTTCCTGTATTTCTCTTCTTAGGCGCATTCCTGTGTGCCTGAATTTTTAATATCCTTTCTATTTTTTTAGTGTTTTCCAGAAGGCACTGACATGGTTGGTATATTAGACTTCTACTTCCAGGTAATTTAATTATATAAATTGTATGTATAAATGGAATGTTTCAGCTAGGTTTGGTGGCTCATGCCTGTAATCCCAGCACTTTGGGAAGCTGAGGTGGGCGGATCACAAGGTCAGTAGATTGAGACCATCCTGGCCAACATGGTGAAACCCTGTCTTTGTAAAAATACACCACCCTGTTTTTGTAAAAATGCAAAAATAAGCTGGGTGTGGTGGCACGCACCTGTAATCCCAGCTACTCGGGAGGCTGAGGCAGGAGAATCTCCTGAACCCGGGAGGTGGAGGTTGCAGTGAGCCAAGATTGCGCCACTGCATTCCAGTCTGTCAACGGAGTGAGACTTCACCTAAAAAAAAATAATAAAATAAATGGATATGTCACATTATGCAAAATACAGATGTTTCAGAAATCTTGGTTCTAGGCCGTGAGAAAATACATTTTCCGTTGACTTTCAAAAATGCCTTCATAAAAGGCAGTCTCATGTCTATGTTGCCTAAAAATTCTTGCCTCAAAATGTAATGGGGAAATTTTCGTCTGAAAACATATTTAAGAATTGCCAAAAACAATGTACACTCCCAGAAATTGGCAATCCTAGTTAAAAACTGAGCTCGAAATTTTTCTTAGCTTTTACATTTTGTTTAGGAAAAGCTATTATTATTAATTTTTTAATCAGAGAGCTCTTATTCAGCATTTAAAAGTGTGAATGTCTTAGCTGACCTGGTATCTTTTGTAATTTCTTTGTTACTACTCTATTCTGGCTTATCTGGTCCCAGTTCATTTCTTCAGGGTAAGATATTGGGCTTTTTTCTAAGTTAGAGTAGCCCTCAATATTCAGGGGGTGAGGTTGGGCGAGAGGGAACAGGCTGTACAATGGTCTGTGCTATAGAACTCAATTTAGAATAGCCTTCTGGGAGATCTCTTCTCTCACCCACATTTTCAGTTCAATTTATTCTTACATATTTAACACAGTTGGTGCTATTGATGGGACCGTAACATGAAGCTACGTAGTAGGCTACATTATTGACAATTTCTAGTTCACATTTACATTTCCCTGTCTTTACTTTTAAAGGTTCTTTAATTTTAATCTTTAAGTAATCTTAGGGAGTATATAAGAGAGGTTGATAATGAGTTAGATTTTAATAGATGTCCAGGTTGCAGCTAGTCATCTGCCCAGTGTGAAAAACCGTAAATTGGGAATCCAGATCATCAATATAAAATGTAAGTTCTAGCCCAGCCACTTATTAGCTATATGACCTAATTTTAGCTACTGATCCCTAGTTTCCTTATCTGTAGCATATGCCTAACCTACCTTGCTGTATTATGTTGAAGATAACATGAGATGACATGTGAAATTCCTTTGAAACTATGTCATATCATTTAACTCCAATAGCCTTTATTTTTTCCCTAGTTTCTATGAATTTTTTCCATAAGTTTCTTTTTCTTTAGAATACATATTTAAATTTGGCTGTTATAGCTTAGATGCTGCTAATCTACTATAATGTAAAATTTCTATACTTGATGGCAAAAATCAAGAGACAGCTGTAGAAGTGGTATCGACTGTTTTGGAGAAGGACTGCATCAAATTGAACCACCATTGAGGTTAGCAGCAGAGTATTCAAGTCTGTATTTTGGCAGATTAAGAGTGTGCTGCCCTATGACAAACACAATTCCAATTAATATTAAGTATAAATTAGAAAATGATTATTGGAATTCAGAAAGCCTTGCATGATTAAATCGACCTTATCATAAGTCTTTGTTATCTGGGCAGTATTCTAAGTCTATTCTGTTGTTTTTGAGAAATAGGGAAGAGATTTTTTTATATAAATAAGCAATCTAGTCAAGTTAAACACACAGTGTTCTAATTCACTGTAGTTTTCCTCCTTGCTATTTCCAAACCCCTTTTGCCTCTTGTAGATCTTGAAGTGTGGCTGAGGAAAATTTACAAGTTGAAAACCCATTCTTCTCCTTTCCTCTTTCTTTTTTGACCCCATCTCATCCCATTTGGAAAAATTTATTATTTTCATTTTATGGGAAATTTGGGTTCGGTATGGGGAAGGATTTCCATTATTTTGATTGTATTTAAATACACGAATTTTATTCTAAAGGGTATATTTAACACCCATAGTAAATATCATATAAATATTAATAAATGGTCCAAAAGATAACATTTTGGTTTAGGCTTACAGAGCATCTGAGACAAATCTGCTTTATATTTTTTCTTCTCCTTTGTCCTTTGCCTGTTATCATATAAATGGGGATACTGAGCTTTGTTATTGGTGAAGTGTCAGGCACTTTAGCATTTTCTTCTAAAATGGTGATTTCTCATGTAGACACTATCATAATCATCATGTATGGTGTTTTATCTTAAAAATGTTTCATGGCTCTTTTTTTTTCTGTTGTGTTAAAAGTAATTATGCTTGTGTATCCCACAGAAAGTATTAATATTTAAGCAAATTTGAATATCACATAGAATAAGAACAAATCTTAGTGTTTAGTGGCTGGCTATTCCTAGCCTAGTTCTGCCATTAAAAGACTGAATATCTTTGGCCAAATCAGGGTAAACTTTAAAAGGAGGTAGAACTTAGGTCAATTAAAATCTTCAGAATGTCATCAAGTTTATATTAAAATAATCTCTTTGGAAGAAATATTTCAGATCTATATGAAATACCAAGTAAAATAGATTATCTTAGAAGTAAACAGTAGTATTAAAAATATGAACCTAAAGTTTTTAGAATTCTGCTTTTTCTTTTTGTTAGCTGTGCTCCATTGAAGTGACTTGTGAATCAGCAAGTGTGATGGCTGCAACGCTGGCTAATGGTGGTTTCTGCCCAATTTCTGGTGAAAGAGTACTGAGCCCTGAAGCAGTTCGAAATACATTGAGTTTGATGCATTCCTGTGGCATGTATGACTTCTCAGGGCAGTTTGCTTTCCATGTAAGTAATTGTTTAATCTTAATTTTCTCTGGCAAGAAATTAGTGTGGACTGGTTCTTTTAAAAATGCAGTTTGAACTTTGCTTCTAAAGCTGTCTATTAATTTTTGAGAGAGAGGATTGTTTTCAAGGTTAATTTGTTACAAGATTAGTAAGGAATAAGAGCTAAAGTCTACCAAATGTTTTTAAGGACTTGGAAGTTTAATTTATAGAACCTCATTCCTTCTGCTTTTAAGGCATTCCAGTGCACAAGGTTAGTATAGTCTTTCTTTACTTTTAGTTGTTAATATCTAGCATTAAGATGAGTATGTATCTTAAGAATGCTTTAAGTTCAGAAAGATTGCAAAGATGTGATGTTTCACATCTTTGGTTACAGCCATAGATTTTTTTTTTTCCTATTTTTTGAGACTTTTTTTTTTTTTTTTCTTCTATTTTTTGAGATGGAGTCTCGCTCTGTAGCCCAGGTTGGAGTGCAGTGGCACAGTCTCAGCTCACTGCAACCTCTGCTTCCCAGGTCCTGGTTCAAGCAATTCTCCTGCCTCAGCCTCCTGAGTAGCTGGGATTACAGGCACTCACCACCATGCCCAGCTAATTTTTGTATTTTTAGTAGAGGTGGGGTTCCACCTGTTGGCCAGGCTTGTCTTGAACTCCTGACCTCAAGTAGCTGGGATTACCGGCACCTGCCGCCGCACTTGGCTAATTTTTGTATTTTTTGTGGAGACAGGGTTTTGCCATGTTAACCAGGGTGGTCTCAAACTCCTGACCTTGGGTGATCTGCCCACCTCAGCCTTCCAAAGTGCTGGGATTACAGATGTGCACCATCAGACCCAGCCTTATAACTTTATTTGTAAACATGTTGATAAAAATGTACCTATGTTTTTAATGTCTACTCTATGGATATATAATTTTTAATTTTTAAACCAATTTCCCAGTTTGTTTTTTGTTTTGTTTTTGAGACAGGATCTTACTCTGTCACCCAGGCTGGAGTGTAGTGGTGCAGTCATGGCTCACTATAGCCTTGACTTCCTGAGGTATGTGATCGTCCCACCTCAGCCTCCAGAGTAGCTGTGACTACTGGTGCGCACCTCCATGTCTGGTTATTTTTTGTATTTTTGTAGAGATGAGATCTCCCTGTGTTACCCGGCCTAGTCTCCAACTCCTGGAGTTGGAATTGTGATCCGCCTGCCTTGGCCTCCCAAAGTGCTGAAATTACAGGAGTGAGCCAGGATATTCAGCCCCGATTTCCCTGTTGTTGAACATAACATTTCTTATTTTAAAATGTTTACCTGAATACTTATTTTACTGAATTATTTTTAGGTCGGACTTCCTGCAAAATCTGGAGTTGCTGGGGGCATTCTTTTAGTTGTCCCCAATGTTATGGGTATGATGTGCTGGTCTCCTCCTCTGGATAAGATGGGCAACAGTGTTAAGGGAATTCACTTTTGTCACGTAAGCATATTTTCTTAATGAAATAATGATATAAGTTGAGCCATTCACTGATTCTTTTTTTAACCCATTTTCCATAGTTCATTAACTCTTGGTCCTCTGCCTACATATAGAGTGCCAGTTACTAAGTAGCCATAGAAATACAGAGGAGCTTCAAGTTGTCTCTGTCAGACAGCTACCGTTTAATTATTCCTACAGAAAATTATATTTGTTTGATGCTAATATTTTAATTTTCCTGGTTATAATTAGTATCAATTTTTAAAATTAGTATCAATTTTTAAAAGCTCAACAAAAGATGTTAGAGAAGTAATTTAAAAGACAATGTACCTTTTTTTTTTTTTTGAGACGGAGTTTCGCTCTTGTTACCCAGGCTGAAGTGCAATGGCGCAATCTCGGCTCACCGCAACCTCCGCCTCCTGGGTTCAGGCAATTCTCCTGCCTCAGCCCCCCGAGTAGCTGGGATTACAGGCACGGGCCACCATGCCCAGCTAATTTTTTGTATTTTCAGTAGAGACGGGGTTTCACCATGTTGACCTGGATGGTCTCAATCTCTTGACCTTGTGATTCACCCACCTCGGCCTCCCAAAGTGCTGGGATTACAGGCTTGAGCCACTGCGCCTGGCCCAAGACAATGTATCTTAAGAGTTTGTATTTTATTGTATCTTTAATCTGCATGGTTGAATATCTTTATCCCTTTATCCATTGACTACCTTTAAACATTTTTTTTGAGGAAATAAGTACTGAAAATTTTTTAAAAATTAAAAAAATTTTAAAGTGTTACTGCTCTTGATAGTTTGGTATTTTGTTGTTACCTAGTTCCTGCTAATGTTTGAGCTTCTGGCCAGAGTTCATATTAAGTACCATAGTCAATTAAAATTGTTTTATTTTCCAGTCTTTTACAAAAACTAGAGTATGACATTGGATTATATATAAAGTGGAATAGATTGTACCAGAGTACTTATTTACATTTTAATGTTGCTTTACGCTTATTTGATAGAAGAATTCTTTCATGTGGCTGGCTATAAACCCTATTTTGTAGAAGATAAAAGTTAAGACAATTTGATTGAGCTCTAGGATCATGTTAGTAAACAATGTTCTTAAAGCTTGTATCCATATCTTACTCTGATTGTAGTTATCTTCTTGATGCATTATATTGCTTTATTAGCATGCAGTGATGATTTCTAAGCTGGATGATATAAGCATAGTTTGTTAAAATATGAATATACATAACAATGAATAGCCAGTTGCTCATACTTGTTCTGTGTAACTGTTTATAGGACCTTGTTTCTCTGTGTAATTTCCATAACTATGATAATTTGAGACACTTTGCAAAAAAACTTGATCCTCGAAGAGAAGGTGGTGATCAAAGGGTAAGCAAAATTTTTATTTAGATAATTAAGTAAAATTTTTAAGAGAGAAAAAGTGAGATTTGCTTGTATAAGTGAAATCTTAGTTTGTTAGTGACTTCAGGTCTTTGCTAATCATAAATGAGTGAAATCAAATTGCTGACATTTTAATCCAGTATTTAATCACCAGTATTAAATACTTAAATATTGCTCAATAGATACTTAATAGATATAGATACTTAAATGTTGCTGTTTCATTATTTAAATCGAAACTGGTTAGCCTAGTGTCAGGGTTTTCCCGTCTTGTTTTTCACTATCTTAAGTAAGATTTTAAAAATTGATTCTGCTAAAAAAAAAAAAAAAAAGCCATTGGTACATGCTATAAATCTAATTTAAAAGAAAGTATTGCTTTACTCTTAGTATTTGTCAGAGTCCTAAACTGAAGTTCATTTTAACTTCTTGCTTCCTGTGTAGATGGATATGTAAAAGGATTATCATATTATTGGGAGACCATGTGAAGCCTCATAATAAGTTTTATTAGCCACTGAGATGAATTTTTTTTCCAGACTGTTAGCAATATTCCCAATAATCTTACGGTCCTATTTTGTTACCAGTGTATTTGGCTTCATACTATTATACTTATATTACTTTTTTAGAAGTATTACTAAGAGACAGGACTTAACTTTTTTGGTCTATATAGTTTTTCACTGTACCAAGGGACTTGTGTTGAGAATTTTCATTCAATTTCTTTGCATACCATATTGAAAATGTTTGTAGCAAAATTACCTAATTAGACTTCAAGATAATATGAAGCACTTGTAAATAGAAAATATTTTTAATACCTCTTACGTACATTTTCTGTAGCGCTAAACTAAATTAACTTCTGTTACTATGTAAGAATTATGCAAAACCAACAGAATACTATGAGTCGACCTGAATAACATGGAGCAAAATGTCAGAGGTGGTGGTTTAAAATGTTAACAGATTTTAATAATGTTCATTGAAAAATACCATTTTATAGCTTGGACCTTTCTTCACTCAAGTGCACTAATAAATTATGTATGTTGCTTGAACAACTAGCATTCCTTTGGACCATTGGACTATGAAAGTCTCCAACAAGAACTTGCTTTAAAAGAGACAGTATGGAAAAAAGTGTCACCTGAGTCAAATGAGGACATCTCTACAACTGTAGTATATAGAATGGAAAGTCTGGGAGAGAAAAGCTAAAGAAATGGGTTCTAGTTTCAGAATGTTTCTTCAGTCAATCTTTCAAACATCTTTAGCTTTTTTTTTTTTTTTGCAAATTATAAATATTTATTTGAGGTATTTTTTGTTCTCAACCTTTGGTGCTGGAGCCATAAAGCTTTTTTTTCCTTTTAATCTTTGTATAAAGATAATACATTAAAAAGTGAATTTGTTGGTCTTTGAAAAAGTATTTACAAGTAAATAAATTTGCTTTAATTTAAAAAATACAAAAAGGAAAAATTCTCTTAAATTTTTCTTGATGTAATTAAAATTTTAACTATGTAGTCAGATAATCCCATTTTATAATAGTAACAGAAAATCGTAATTCTTAGTTCTAAAATTCACACATTAAACTCATAAGTTTTGTTGCATTTTGTTTTTTCTTTTCCATTTTTGAAACTGACATGATGTCTGTAGTGGCAATAGAAAGTACTTCTATGCTAAATGCAAAACTAAAAGGACAAAATAATGAACCCCAAATTACTTTATTTAAAATAGCAGTGGATTATAAAATTAGCTTACATTTACATTTATGCCGCTTTTAGTAATAGATTGGCTTTACATTTTAAAAAATTTATTTAAAATTTTATCAAACGCTTTAAAATATGTCTCCTACCTTTTCTATTTTGCAACTCCTCTGTTTCTGTCAGAATTGTTATATACAGGAGTGTCTTATGTTACTAAAACATTCCAGCCAAAGAATTTCAGACATGAGATAATGATGTTTCATTGATAAAAAGCTATAATGGTTAGTTACTCAGAAGGAGAAACAGTGAGTGTCTTCAAGTGAATTGTTCACCAAAACAATTTTATTTTCATATTATCCACATAACTTTTTCTATGTTATATTTAAATATGAATGGCAAATTTTGTTTTTTAGCTTTTAAAATTTTATTATCCTAATAATTTTATAATTGCTAATATTTCTTTTGTGATAAATTATAGCCTTTCATGAAGTTTGTTCTATTTGAACTCTTAGAGTACTTGGGAAATGAATTTAGTCTGCAGGTAGTAAGTATGCTACTAAAATATGTTAGATCTGAATCCTTTTGTCTGGTAATAAAAATGCAATATTGAGAATCAAAACTTGTTTTTAAGAGAACTATAGATTTTATACAACCTGATTTCAAATAATTATTCATGATGTTTAAAGTTGTCTTGGCAAAGTGATTGTAAAATTCTGTAGGACCTATTCACACTTCTTCCTTCTTCCGTAGGGGAATACCTCTCTGGTTTTCCCCACAGTTCCCCTATAGCTTCAAGTTTGTTGAAACCTGTTTGTTTTTTTTCAATTCATTTTTAAACTATTTTTGTGGGGGATTAGAAGAAAAACTTGGTGGTTTCTTAGCATGATGGTGTATGTATGTGGTAACGGAAAGTCTGTAAAAGTGAATATAGTGTAGCAAAAAAAGATTTCACTGGGTATTTTAGTTACTAGTACAAATATAGAAAATCCTGATCATAATGTCTTGAATTTGGGAACTATGTTATTAAGAAAAGAAGTTCCTTCCCAGAGGTGCTGGCCAAAAGCCTTTTGGGCTAACTTAAGTATTAAATTTATATATTTAAATAATTATATTATTAGTTGTAGAGCATTTTCCTGAGGGTTTTATGCTTACTTAAATGTTCTTTGAATGTTCAGATGCATATGCTAACTGGATGCTTCTCAAGGCCTTACTGCATATTTGTGTTGTATATTTGTGTTAGTTGCACCAGGGTCATTTGTAGTTTAGGCAATTGAATGCCTTAATTGGAAAAAAGGCATTATGGTTTCCCCTATGTTCTGAATTGTTACATTTTACCATTCTGTTCAGAAGTTGGTTTTACTTTATAAAATGAAGATTTATCGTGTACATATTTGTATAGATTTCAAAATTAGGTTAATTTGTGGCACTTACTATTATTGTGTTGGTAATGCTTAAATGCATACTTAAAAATGAAATACTGTTACCTAAGCGACTATGTCTAGAAAATATTAAGAATGAGCATCCAGAAATTTTTATAGAAAATTATAAATGGAAGAAGAGATAAGATATTGTGAATAGGCCCTCAAACTTAAAAAAGAAAAAAACTTTGCCAGTTTTAAGGACATATTTTGATTCTTTCAGTATTCTTAACACCTTTTTAAACAAAGTTCTTAAAAGTACCCAGTATTATTGGGTTTAATGTTTTATGCCATTATTGATTCTTGATATTCAAGCATTTACAATATAGCATATTTGATTTTCTTTTTTCTTACTTTTTATTTTTTGGCATCATTAACATTTCATTTGAAATGCATATTATTCCTGAAGTACTTTGTTTTTAGCATAAATGTTGTGCATTTTATCTTAGTGTTTGGATTAAAACATTTGTGTTGTTTAGCTTTCTTTCATTTGCTTTGTATATTTAATAATGTACCTTTATTTTCCAGTATGCCTGCATTTTGTATTGTACAATAAATTTATTTTAAGCTGATTTTATTGTTTTTTTTTGTTTTGTTTTATGAAAGCAACTTCTACATTTTAAGTACAAAAACAGTTGGGATTTTAACTTAGAAAAAAATTATTCTTTATGAAGATACTATTAAGGTGTTTGCTATTCTGAAGCTGCCTCAAAGTAAACTAGAAATACTCAAAAGGGCTTTATTTGATTTTTTTTTTTTTTTTAATGCAATGTAGCATTAGTGGTTTTTGTGGGAGGAGGACTTTTCCTATTGGTTATGCTAGAAGTATTTGAATGAAAACTTTCCCTAATTTTTTTGGTTGTTTTTCCAACTTAAAAAAAATGCAACCCTATTTGTAGGTTATTTCTACTTTCTGAGGAGGAATATTGTTATTCACCATGTAACTCTCATTTTATCTGTTGTTGCCTAAAGAATAGGAAAAACATTGCTAAATCAATGAAGAGTATCATAATATTGCTTTAGAATAAAACTGTTAATCTTGGCAGAATTTATATTAAACAGAATGACAGTGATAGAGAAATTCACCTTAACTGCTTGGCAGAATTTATATTAAACAGAATGACAGTGATAGAGAAATTCACCTTAACTGCTTTCTGAGGGCATTACATTTTGAGAAGGAATTTTGTATATTTCCACGTCATAGTCCAAATTATAAGTTATAGAGACTCCATGTATTGTTAAGTCAAATATAGTACTTTAAATTTTTCTGTTTAATTAAATCTGCCATTCATATTCTGGAGATTTTCTGAATATATTGTAGAAGTTTTAAAATTATTTGAAAGGGGAAATACTGTTGTTTATATTACTTTGTATTTATGGGAATTTTAAATGAATTTCTTTCAGAATTAGTTAATAAGGAGTTTCAGTACAATGACATATTCAATAGATGTAACAGTTTGTGATCAGTTGCTTTTAAAGATTTTTTCAAAATTTCATTTGAAGCAGAGAGGAGACTTAAAGAGGAGACTTAAAATGCCTGGTGATCTTGATCTGACAGTATATATTTATTTAATAGGCTATATTTATATGGAAAAAACTGCTGAAATATACTGATATGTCAGCCTGTATCCTTATAACTTACATATAATGTGTTGCATATGAATGTTTGTGCACACATATATGTGTCATTTTCTTATCTATGTATCTTAATCTACCCATTCATATTCTGAAAATGATGAGCAGTTATTTTCATATTGTGTGTTATGTATAAATTATTCATTGATCTATTCCTATTCCAAGTTTTGACACAAAAGAACTCCTGAAATTTTTGCTTCCCTAGAATTTGAAAAGAATAACATACTTCTTCAGTTTGACTTTAAAAATTTGTGGTTTC